ATGTACCCCAGCAGTAGAGTGCTTGTCTAGCATGCATAAGGCCTTGAGTTCAATCCTCAGCATCAAAAAAAAAGCCAAGAGTATGGAACAAAGAAAGAACACTTAAAACTGCAAGAGAAGTGGTAAGTTACTTACAGAGGAAAATCTATCAGAATAACAGCATATTTCTCAGCAGAAACCCTAAAAGCCAATACAGTACGGACTGATGTATTTTTAAACCCTGAAACAAAACAACTGCTAACCAAGACCACTATATCCAGCAAACTTACCCTTAACAATTGAAGAAATAAAGACCTTCCATGATAAGGAAAAACTAAAGCAATTCATGACCACAAAGCCAGCACTGTGGAAGATACTTAAAGGAATACTGCACACAGAAGAGGAATAAAGATAAACACAAGCATGAGAGCTAAGGAAAGAATAAATCTCACTAAAGGAATAAAGAAATGAGAAGTAGGAAAGAAACATCATCAACTCAGTAAACTAAAAAACCTCTAAGATGAAGAAGAGAGTATAAATATCTCAATAATAATGCAAAATGTAAATGGTTTTAACTTTCTAATTCAAAGATGAAAACTGGCCTGTTTGCTGTCTACAAGAAATTCACCTCACTGCAAAGACACATACTGAATGGTGAAAGGATGGAAAATAACATTGCAAGCAGGAGTAGCTATACTAATATCTGATAAAAATAGATCTTCAAACCAAAATTAGGGGACAAAGAAGGCCACTTCACATTGATAAAGGGAACAATCCATCAAGAAGATAAAACAAATGTCATCGTATATGCCCTGAATAGTGGCACACCCAATTTCAAAACAAACACTATGGGACATAAAGATACAGATAGACCCCAAAGCAGTAATAGTGGTGATTTCAATATCCCACTCTCATCAATACATAATTCATCCAGACAAAAAAATGAACAAAAAAACTTCAGAGTTAAACCATCCAATAGAACAAATGGGCTTAACAGACATCTACAGTATACTCCAACAGCTGTGGAATACACATTCTCAGCAGCCCATGGAAGTTTCTCTAAAACAGATCACATTTTAGGTCATAAAGTCAGATTTATCAAATAGAAAAAATCGGAAATAATTCTGTATCTTATCATCAATCATAATGAAATAAAATTATAAATCAATAGCAAGAGAAACTATACAAACACATGGGAGATTGAGCAATACACTTCTTTTTTGTTTTTTTGGTGGGGATGGGGATTGCACTCAGGGCTTTGCACTTGTTTTTTTTTTTTTAATTTTTATTGTTTTATTATTCATATGTGCATATAATGCTTGGGTCATATCTCCCCCCTGACCCCACCCCCTCCCTTACCACCTACCCACCCCCTCCCACCGACCCCCTCAGTACCCAGCAGAAACTATTTTGTCCTTATTTCTAATTTTGTTGGAGAGAGAGTATAAGCAATAATAGGAAGGAACAAGGGTTTTTGCTAGTTGAGATAAGGATAGCTATACAGGGAGTTGACTCACATTAATTTCCTGTACATGTGTGTTACCTTCTAGGTTAATTCTTTTTATCTAACCTTTTCTCTAGTTCCTGGTCCCCTTTCTCCTATTGGCCTCAGTTGCTTTTAAGGTATCTGCTTTAGTTTCTTTGCGTTAAGGGCAACAAATGCTAGCTAATTTTTTAGGTGTCTTACCTATCCTCACCCCTCCCTTGTGTGCTCTCGCTTTTATCATGTGCACAAAGTCCAATCCCATTGTTGTGTTTGCCCTTGATCTAATGTCCACATATGAGGGAGAACATACGATTTTTGGTCTTTAGGGCCAGGCTAACCTCACTCAGAATGATATTCTCCAATTCCATCCATTTACCAGCGAATGATAACATTTCGTTCTTCATGGCTGCATAAAATTCCATTGTGTATAGATACCACATTTTCTTGATCCATTCGTCAGTGGTGGGGCATCTTGGCTGTTTCCATAACTTGGCTATTGTGAACAATGCTGCAATAAACATGGGTGTGCAGGTGCCTCTGGAGTAATCTGTGTCACAGTCTTTTGGGTATATCCCTAAGAGTGGGATTGCTGGATCAAATGGTAGATCAATGTTTAGATTTTTAAGTAGCCTCCAATTTTTTTTCCAGAGTGGTTGTACAAGTTTACATTCCCACCAAGAGTGTAAGAGTGTTCCTTTTTCCCCGCATTCTTGCCAACGCCTGTTGTTGGTGGTGTTGTTAATGATGGCTATTCTAACAGGGGTGAGGTGGAATCTTAGTGTGGTTTTAATTTGCATTTCCTTTATTGCTAGAGATGGTGAGCATTCTTTCATGTGTTTTTTGGCCATTTGAATTTCTTCTTTTGAGAAAGTTCTGTTTAGTTCACTTGCCCATTTCTTTATTGGTTCATTAGTTTTGGGAGAATTTAGTTTTTTAAGTTCCCTATATATTCTGGTTATCAGTCCTTTGTCTGATGTGTAGCTGGCAAATATTTTCTCCCACTCTGTGGGTGTTCTCTTCAGTTTAGAGACCATTTCTTTTGATGAACAGAAGCTTTTTAGTTTTATGAAGTCTCCCATTTATCTATGCTATCTCTTAGTTGCTGTGCTGCTGGGGTTCCGTTGAGAAAGTTCTTACCTATACCTACTAACTCCAGAGTATTTCCTACTCTTTCCTGTATCAACTTAGGGCTTTGCACTTGTAAAGCAGGTTCTCTACCACTTGAGCCACGCCTCCAGTCCATTTTACTCAGGTTATTTTGGAGATGGGGAGGGGGGGGTATGTCTCAAAAACTATTTGCCCGGGCTGACCTCGAACCATGATTCTCCTATCAACCTCCCAAATAGCTAGGATTACAGCCAATGGTACCCAGCTAGTGACAGATTTTTGAATGATCTGTGGGTCATTGAAGAAATCAGGGAGAACATTTAAAACTTCCTGGAATCAAATGAAAATAAAAACAAAACTTATAAGAACTTTTGGGATACAACAAAGGCAGTTTTAAGAGGGAAGTCTGTAACTAGAAGTGCCTACATTAAAAAAATCAGAGAGATCTCAAATAAACAACTTCAAGGTGTTAGAAAACTAAGCACAAACCAAAGCCAAAATTAGCAGATGTAAAGAAATAATAAAGATAAGGGCAGAAACTAATGAAATGGAAATGGAAAAGATCAATGAAACAAACAGTTGATTCCTTGAAAAAATATACAAGGTTGAAAAACCCTTAAGCAAACTAATCAAAAGAAAAAGAGGATCCAAATTAATAAAAGATGAAAAGGGGGTATTACAGCAGATACCATTGAAATCCACAGTATCATTACAGAATATTTTTAGAACTTATATCCCAATAAATTGGAAAGTCTAAAACAAATGAATAGATTTCTAGTCACATATGACATACTAAAATTGAACCAAGAGGGCACAATTAACATAAACAGATGAACAATTAAATAATACAATGAAGTTGAAGTAATAGGGTCTCACAACAAAGAAAAGCCCAAGACCGGACAGAATCACTGCTGAATTCTACCAGAACTTTAAAGAAATAACACCAATGCTCTTCAAACTATCCATAAACTAGAAAGGGGGAGAAAAGCTTCCGAATTCATTCTATGAATCCAATATTACTCTGATACCAAAACCAGATAAGGATACAACAACAACAACAAAAAACAACTAAAATCAATTTCCTTGATGAACACAGATACAAAAATCCTCAAATCTTGCAAGCCAAATTCAACAACACATTGAAAAGATCACATGTAGCCTCATGCCAGCACTTTTGGGCCTGTATCTCCCCTCCTCCTGCTAGCCACCAAAGACTTGAGCATGTAACAAGCCCAACTTCCCCAAACTACCTGCCATGGATGCCAGTGACTCAAGGTGGACTAAATGTGACTCTCAGTAAAGGTGAACATTATACTGAATAAGAAAAACTGCAAGCATTTCTCTACTCTTATTCAATATAGTGCTTGAATTTTTAGCCAGTAAGGTAAGAAAAAGAAATAAAAGGGATACTAATAGGAAAGGAAGAAATCAAATCCTATTTGCAGATGACATGATCTATACTTAAAAGATCCTATAGCACCATAAGGAAACCAGGAAAATGGATGGAACTGGATATCATGTTAATCAAAATAAGCCAGAGTCAGCCAGGCACATATCTCGTTTTCTCTCATATGCAGAATATAAATTTGAAAAGACATGAAGCTGGGTGCCAGTGGCTCACACCTGTAATGCTAGCTACTTGGGAGGCTGAGATTGGGAAGATCATGGTTTTTGCCAACCTAGGCAAAAAGTCAACAAGTCCCCATCTCAACCAACAGCTGGGTGCATACCATTTGCCTGTCATCCCAAGTTATCCAAGAGGCTGCTATCAAGAGGATCACAGTTCTAGACCAGTCCAAGTAAAAGAAAAAAAGCATGTAAGATTCCATCTCATCAGAAAAAAGCTAGGTATGGTGGTGGCAAGCCTGTCATACCAGTGATGGCTGGAAGCCTAAAATAGGAGGATCACAGTTCAGGCTGGCATGGGATAAAAGCGAGACCCTATCTCCAAAATAACCAGAGCAAAAAGGGCTAGGGGCATGGCTCAAGTGGTAGAGCACCTGCATAGCAAGCATGAAACCTTATGTTCAAACCCCAATACCGCCCCCCAAGAGGGACTATGTGTAAGAGAAAGGGGAAACCCATTATTTTGTACAGTTAATATATGCTGACAAAAAGTTGTCTGTCTTAAAATGAAAATACAGGTAGGTATCCAACAAACCCACATTAAAATTATATATGATGGAAAAGAGCACAACTTTCTACAAAAGTTCATTATTTATGTATATTAAACAAAATTATCGAAGCGGCATGCTTTTAACAACTCTTTAAACTGTTTTCCAAAGGAAGAGGGTGGGGGGTGGGGGGGAGAAATGACCCAAACATTGTATGCACATAGGAATAAACATAAATAAATAAATAAATGAAATGTTTTTCACAAAGAATAGAAAGAATAGAAGTTTTCCGTCTTCTTGTATTTGGTACTCACTCTTTAAGGCTATCCGACCGCCGCCTGTTTCTTCCCCATGAGGAACTTCTACTTCGAGTTCTTCTTTGGCTGGGGCTTCTTGATCTTCTATGGTCACTTGGAGAACAAGGATGACGTTCTTTAGATTTCATTTGGCCTGGTGCTAGAGTATGAAGAGAAAATTTACACCACAATTTATTACCTGAAAATTACAGTGAAAGCCACCTCAACTAGCATCATTTTCTGAAGGAATTTTAATAAAAACATTGTCACTGCTGAAACTCATTGGTGAATAAGCAGGATCTAATGTGTAGTCACACTTACTTTTGCGGTCACCTTGTGCAAACTGTATTTCAATTTGACGGCCACATACCCACTTCCTATTGAGGTTGTAAAGAGCGTCTTCAGCATCTCGAACATCTTCAAATATGACTAGCTGTTAAGGATACTTTGAACATCAGATAGAAGTAAAAATATTTTAAGGTACTATTTACATGTGAAATGAAATTAGCAGGAAAAACGAGTTCTAGTTATTATGCTCACATTTCTAATATGAATAAGCAGAAAAAACTTACCTTTTTTTACTATGAAAACAAATGCCCTGTTATGATTTAGAAGAGTGATATAAAAATAGAACAGAAAAAAACAGGCAGCTGTACTTCTAATATGTACATTAGTAAAATTATAATATGTGTATACAATTTGAAACATGTTATGAAAAAAATCAGTCCAAATTGGCTAGCATTATAAAATAAAGTACTTAGGACTTGCTCCCATCTTTTAGATAAAGTATCAGGTTTTTTTTTTTTTCACTGAAATTATCAGTATGTAGGAGCCTTTATTCTGAAATTAAAATTACTCTTTCATTAAAAAGCTTCCTAATTATGACATTTAGGAGAAACTACTTATAAATAAAACTGCATACATAAAAATAAGATAAAATAAAAACCAACTTGGTCCTTTAAAGATGACATCCACCTCTGAACCTACCATTTTAAACAACCCCTTATGTGTTTACTACTTGGGATATAAATGTATAAAAACATTCTGCAAACATTTGGAATTACATATATGTTTGAAATACCCACTAAACTCCCTTATCTATATAAATTTATATTATTAAACCTAACTACAATATGTAAAATGATTAAGTAGCTGTATTTCAGGAGGTTGTTTACTAGTTTTTTTTTTTTTTAAATAGCAAACAAGAAAAGCTGAAGAAACGCAATATAAAATGAGACTGGCAATTACCTCAGTGTCACTTGGTCTTGAACCTTGACCTTTACTTTTTAAGACTTGCAAGGTGGACTTTATAAGAGATGAAGAACCACCAACAAAATCAGACTTGGCTTTGATTCTGGAACTCTGAGTTAAATGTAGGAAAGCCGAAGTCTCAAAGTTGGCTGTGTCTTTTGCTTGATAAAGACTTTCCCTCTTCCAGGTCTGTATATCTGTGTCCACCCTCCCTCTTTACTCCTTGATGCTGGAACTTTAGATGCCTGTTGTCTTGCCTGCTCACGTTATGCTTGGATTCTAGCTAACAGGTTGGTTCAAACTGGGGGTGCTTGCCAGCTACTGCGGACTGCTTTAGATTTTCTGAGATAAAGAAATAAACAAAATAGGCAATGTTAATCTCATAACATCTGCTCCTAAAGACATACACTTATAAGCACATGGATGCAGGACATTCACATGCACACAATAAAGGATATTGAACATAAGCAAATCCTCTTGGGCGGCGAGTGTAGAAGTCAAGTGGAATGTAAACGTCTACTATAGGGCCATATCGACCAAATTCACGACGCAAGTCCTCAGGCCTGAAGTGTTTTAGAAATAAGGCAAAGAAATATGGATAGCTGGATTAAAATACTTTGCCTACAGAAGTCCAGATGAAACCTTTAAAAGAAAGTATATTGTCTAGACCACCATTAGCTAAAACTGTCTCTTGTAAGAATCATCTAAGACTTTCAAAAGAAGAAAAAAGGAAAAAGAAGAAGAAAAAAAAGCCCACCAGATTCTCAATCCTCTTTCTTAAGAGACCTAAAGAAGTCTGGATTAGAGACTTGGAATCAGTATTTTTACAAATATTCCAGGTGTTTGTTAAGCTTAGTCAACTGTGCTGGGGGCATGGCTCAAGTGAGTGAGCACTTGTCTAGCAATCTCAAGGACCTGAGTTCAAACGCTAGTACCACCAAAAATAAACAAAACACACCCACCTTTCATAGTTATTCCCACTACAAGACTTAATAGTTTCAATAAGAACACATTAATTTGCCTCACTATAATTTCCTGTTTATGTTAACTTTGTTTTCAGATAGCAAGAATTATAATGAAGTCCTAACATTATCTCTCTGGCTTTAAAGAAACACGGATGTTTTACTATAAAGCAAACTACTCTATCCTCAAATTTATGCTTCTACTGTGATGGTACAACAGAGGGTACACCAAAGAAATACCATTATTTGTGTTGATGGAGCTACAATTTAACTGAAGAGACAAAATACTTAGCAGTAATACCTGACAAGAGTGCATTTATGTACTAGCCACTGTTTATCTTAAGATACGTAGTGCTCAGAAAAACCCTGTGGCTGTTTACCAGCCAATTAGTCCTTCCCTAATGTCCTGAGGCAGCAAGCAACAGAGATGCATCAAACTTGCACAGTCTGACACTAGTCTATGTGATGAATCATTACAGTATACTACCTCATGGAGATCACAGGAATGCACCATCAAGCTTTGAGCACAAATCATGGCTCAGAAGAAATAAGAGTACTTCAAACCATAGTGTATAAAGAAAACACTTAAAGATGACTGCAAATGGAAGAAAGATGTCAATGACAAAAATTAGTTGAAAGAGAGAGCTAGATTGAAGAGGGAGAAAAGAGGCCAAAGAAGCAGCTTTCACATTTAGAAATGCAGAATGTGAGGTGATGGTGGAACATATGTAAGAGTTCTGCATGCAGCTGAAAACTTTTGATTATGCAAATCATAATAATTTTATTTTCTCTCAAGACTAGAAGACAAGTCAGTGATCAACCATACAGATGGGTATTTAGCATGAGGCCCTAATTTCAATCCCTAGCACTGCAGGTAAACAGAAAGATAAATAAATGCTGAAAAAGTATGGCAAGTATTAAGATAAATCTTGCTTGGTCTGGGTAAGTTACCAGACTGGAAAAACTGGAGCTATTACATAAAGATTCAACTAACATCAACTAAGCACCCACTGCGTGCTAGGCAGCACAGTCCTTATATATTTTATGAATTTGTGTTTGCCTTCCCACGTAGACTTAGCTGTAGAGGACAGTGACATTGTCTATTTATTTTACTTACTCCACAATTACTTACTGAGTACCTACTATGTGCCAGGCTCTAGGGGCATGGTGGGAACAAGAAAAACACAATTCCTGTTCCCACAGAACATAAAAGTAATGGGGTGTGGAGAAAGGGGTTAAGATTCTCACCCATTTCTGAATATTGGGATCATCTGTGAAAGGGATATTACAGAAATAGGCTCCCCATCCTGGTGCATTAACTCTGGGCCTGATTAATGTTTCCCTTCGGGAAGCAGTTATGTCTACTTTTTAAAAAGTTTCATAGGCAATTCTGAGACTAAAAGCTGAGAACCCTCTAACACAGACGTGTTCACTAGCATATCTCGTGCCAAGCACAGCTGATGGGCATACAACAAAACACCTGATATATATTTGTCTACTAATGACTGAAGAACACATTACTGCTGTCATTTAAAAGTCAAGGAGACTTAGGGAGAGAGAAGTTCCCTTACCCAGACCAGCAAAGCAGTAGCAAAGCTAGAATTCAAATGAAGGCCTCCTGAGGCCCATCAACCAAATGTGGGTGGAAAGGAATCCTAGACAATGTAAAGAAAAAGGCTGGAGCAGTGTGTGTCATAGAGCCTTAGAATCCTAGAAGCCAAGGGTGGCCATTTGAAGGAAAAGATCTCAAACAAGCTGGCAACTATACCTCATTTTCAATACCTCACCTGTCAATTATCATTTTGTTTTTATTTTTGCAATTTTGGTGTGATCCACTTTAACAGAAGAATTATTTACCTTATAGAGAATAATAAAGACCCATGTGTCCACCAACAAGATTTATCTTAATACTTGCCATTATTAATTAATTAATCTCTCTATTTACCTGTAACGCAAAGGACTGAAGCCAGGGCCTCTCACATATGAGGCAAATGCTCTACCACTGAGCTTCATCCCCACTCTTGTATTTTTTTAAGGCATGAGACATTCTACCCTTCTACCATATAAATAATCATTGGTGTTCATCATCCCCCTGCATAGCTATATTTTTACTACAAATACATATCCATAAATACATATGCTTGTATTTATGTATACATACATACATATGTATGTATATAAACACACACACATACATATGTATGTATATATACACACATATACATATATATCAGTTTGCATTAATGGTACTAGATCATTGGTATTTTGTACCTTGCCTTTGAGATTTCTCCATGTACGTTTTTTATTCATTTTAACTCCATATGGTATTGTTATGCTAAACCAAATAATTTATCCAGCCATATTTCTGTGGATGAACATTCAAGATGTTCTGCTTTACTTTTTTTTGTGTGGTGCTGGGGATCAAACCCAGGACCCTGTGCATGCTAGGCAAGCCCTATGCCAATGAGCTACACCCACAGCTCTTTAAAAAACATTTAACAGCAAACTGTGCTGCAGTGCACACACATCACATTACCAGTGCTTCCTAGAGTTCTGCTAGAGTTCTCTGGGATGTACCACCAGCAAAGGAACTGGTGGACTGAAGAACATGCCTATCTTCAGCTGCACTCCTCCAAAGTGGACAGAAAGCTTATACTTCTCTGAAGTGTGAATTACAATCCTACTGTTCCACTTCCTCCTTAACATCTTTCAATTCAATCCCTGCCAGTCTGAAGGACATGGAGTAAATGAGTATCTCATTATTTTAATTTTTTGAGATGGGGGGTCTCACTATGTTGTCCAGACTGGCCTCAAACTCTTAGGTTCAAACAAACCTCCTGCCCTAGACTCCCAAGTAGCTGGGACTGTAGTCCTGCCCATCACTTTTTTTTGGAGTGGGGAGGACTGGAGGTTGAACTCAGGGCTTCCTGCTTGCAAAGCAGGTGCTCTACCACTTGAGCCACACCGCCAGTCCATTTTGCTCTGGTTATTTTGGAGATGGGGTCTTGGGAATTATTTTCCTGGGCTGGTCTAAAACTTTAATCCTCCCAATCTTAGGTCTCCCAAGTAGCTAGGATTATAGGCGTGAGCCACTGGCACCTGGCTAGTCCTGTCCAACATTAATCTTAATTTATATAATAATCAGTGTGGTGCCAAAACCTTTTCTCTGCTTATAGAAAATTGTTTTGTTTAAATACCTAGGAGTGGAAATGCTGAGACAAACAGGATGTACCTAATTAACTTTTATGAAACTACTAAACAGTTCTGTCAAGTGGTATACCATTTTACAGTACCATCAGCAAAGTATAACAGAGTAACGCCCTTCTTTATCAGTATTCGATTGTGTTGGTCTTTTTTAGACATTCAGTGTTAAATGGGACTTAGTGTGGTTTTAACATGCACTTTCCTAATGACAAAGTTGAGCACTTTTTCATATGCTAATTGGTCATTTGTGTGTATTTTTTCTTTGTGAAGTGTTCAAGTTTTTGCCCCTCTTTTTGTTGTTGCTGCTGATTTCTTTGAGACAGGAGTTTGCTATGTAGCCCAGGTTGGACTTGAACTCACAATCACCCTGTGTCTGCCTCCATTCTGCTGGGATCACAGGCAAGCCCCACTACACCTGGCTTTGCCAGGCTTTGCTTAATAATAATGTTTGTCTTTTTTTATTGTTGAGTTGATAAAGTTTGTATGTTCTGGGAACAAATCCTTTGTCAGATATGTTTTGTAAACATTTTTTCTGTTTGTGGCTTGGTATTCTAATTTGGTGAAATCTGATTTATCAGAGTATTTTCTTTATTTATGCCAACTGCTTTATCCAATAAGAAATCTTTGCCTATCCCCAGGTCCTAAAGATAGTCGCCTATGTTTTCTTCTAAATGTTTTTTAATTTTATATTTTACATTTTGATAGATGATCCAGCTCAAATTATGATATAAGGTAGGAGCTGCAGCTGCATTTTGTTACTTCGTTTTTTCCCATATGGCTATCCAGCTATTCCAGCATCATTTGTTGAAAAGAGTTCTTTTCACACTGGATTACTTTGTTGCCTTTGTCAAAAATCAATGAACTCTGTATTTGTTATTTATGGACTCTATTCTGTTATTGACCTGTTTATCTACCCTTAGGCCAATATCACATTGACATAGTTGCTGAATCTTTTTTCTTTTTTTGGCTGCACTGGGCTTTGCACTCAGTGTTTCACACTTGCTAGTCAGGTGCTTTACTGCTTGAGCCAATCCACCAGCCCTTTTTTTGTGATGGGTTTTTTTCAAGATAGGGTCTCATGAACTATTTGCCCAGAGCTGGCTTCAAACCATGATCCTGCTGATCACTGCCTCTTCTTTTTTTCTTGAGACAGTATCTTGCTATGTAGCTTATACTGGCCTCAAACTCAAAATCCTCATACCTCAGCCTCCCAAGTCCTGGAATTGATTGCCAGCATGCCCCACCAAGCCCAGTTCCCTTTTTGATTCTAAGATAGTGGGAGTTGTTTTTAATATTTCATTATTTTCAATTGTGCTGATACACCAAAATAAAGTTTTTAAAGTTTGCCTTGCAGTCTGATAACTCAATAAAGTCATTATTATAGTAGTTTTGTCATTATATCTGTTTTCTATTAAAAAAATAAAAACAAACAACAGCAAAAAAAAAGTCACCTAAGAATGGGAACCTTTTTTACTTCTACTTTTCCAGTTTTTATGTCTTATTTCTTTTCTTACCTTGTTGCACTAGTGAGGACCTATAGTAAAATGCTGACTGGCGGTTATAATGATAGATATCCTCCTCTTGTTCCTCCCCCTACGATTGAGGAGAGCATTTATACAGTCTTTCACCATTAAGTTATAAGATTAACTTTAGGTTTTTTTCAGATGCCCTTTCTCAGGCTGAAGAAGTTCCCTTCTAGTCCTGATTTGCTGGGAAATTTTGGTGAATTGTGTTTAATGCTTTCTCTACATCACTATCAAACCACAGAGCCTCTTACACACTGTGGTCAAACTGCTGCTAAATACTGCTAAGTACTTGCTACTTCCCAATATAACTTGGTGTTACATATCAAAATATGAATGGTACATTTGAGATTTGGACATTACTGTGCTCCTTTAATTAGTAACTGTATTTGCCACTTAAAAATATCATTCTTCTACACAGTAAAAAACAAAGATTTTAAAATTAAAAAGATTTTAAAATTAAAATTTAAAACTGGGTTGGGGAGTGGCTCAAATAGTAGAACACTGCCTAGCAAGCACAAGGCCCTGAGTTCAAACCCCAGTACTACTAACTAACTAAATAAATAAATAAAATTTACTTTAAAAATTTCTTCATTTCTTGTACTCAATTTCACTATTAAATTTTACGCTAGCCCACTAAATGTCTAACCCATTAAATGTCTTTTAATATCTTATGCTTTATGGTATATATTAAAATGCCCACCTCAATGAAATTTTTTAAGTAAAAATTGAGTTTTTGTTGTTTGGTTTTAGCTTTTTGAGATAGGGTCTTGCTATGTAGCCCAGGCTGGTCTAGAAGTTACAATCCTCCTGCCTCAGTGTCCAAATGGTTTTGTGGTTGTTTTTTTTTTTTTTTGTGGTATTGGGGCTTAAACTTAAGGTCTCACGCTTAAGTGAGACTTTACCACTTGAGTCACACCCCCCAGCCCTTTTTTTTGCTTTAGTTACTTTTCAAGTAGGGTCTTGTATTTCTCCCTGGGCCAGCCTCAAACCTCAATCCTTCCAATCTCTGCCTCCCAAGTAGCTGGGATAATAGGTGTGACTCACTACATCCATCCTTCTGAATGGTTTCTTATTAAGTATAATTGAAAAACAACCATCCAAATGAATAAACCTTAATTTTCTATATAGTTTTTCTTTTCCTCATTTTTATAATTGAAATCATTAAATTATACTGCTTTTATTTAATATTTTATCCCAATTATTTTCTTTATAGGTATACTTAATGTTTTAAAGTGAAAATGCATTAAGGTATCATTGCTAGTTTACTTACACTGAATCACCTCTTACACAGAATTACCTCTTGCTAATATAGGTTACATATGAGGATTCTGTCACTGCAATGCACTTTCAGGCAAGACACTTAACCTCTATAAGCCTCTGTTTCTTATCTCTAAGTAGGGTCAATTAAGAATTAGGATTGTCTGAAAACTATGTAAGATCTGTAAAGTTCTAGCAAGCATCTGCCACACAGTGAATAATAAGTTTATTTAATTAAGGTAATTATTATTTATTAAGGTAATAGGTATTACCTCCCCAGTAGCAGTGCCAAAAAGTGGTGAAAGAACAGAAAAGGAAATCAGTAAATCTCAAGTGAGTCTCAAAACTCAACATGGATCACCCAGATTCGAGGTTTGTTGTAACATGCAGATGTGTTTTATTTAGAATGTCTTTTTTTTTCTCTTTGTGGTACTGAGGTACAACCAATGCCTCGTGTATGCTGGGCAAGCACTCTACCTGCCCAGATGTGTTTTAACATGCATGGAAATTATGAGATTAATGATATTTTACAGCTTCTAAATCTACAAAAATAGGGACTTCATTCTATTCAACTTAATAAATGCTCACATATTGACTGGATTTATGTTTATACACACAAAATTCAGATTTCTGTCTTCTCTTAAAAATAGGAAGTGCCAGGCACTAGTGGCTCATGCCTGTAATCCTAGCCGTTTGGGAGGCTAAGACAGGGAGGACTGCAGTTTGGGGCCAGCCTGGGCAAATAGCTGGAGAGACCCCATATCCAAAAATAACCAAAGCAAAATAGATTGGAGGTATGGTTCACGCGATAGAGTGCCTGATTTGCAAATGAGCCCTGAGTTCAAACCCCAGTCCCACCAAAAACTATAATGGTATTAAGAAGTCGCAACAAGAGTGCATGCATCTGCAGGGCAACTGCCAGCTGGAGCTTAGCAGCCAGTGCTGCTCCCTAAAGATAGCACATGTCCTTCTCCACCGGCTACTGTCCACACCATTCCATTGTGCCTTATGACCTGACAGCTCCACTCATGCATATTACCCTGGCTGGCTCCTTCCTGTGCCATTAGAATTGGAACCTCTGGAGTTTCTGTAGTGACCTTGCTGGAGTCACTTGACGCTTAGTAAGTATTCGAGTGGTCTGTTCAACGTGGGATTTTCTTTCTTTCTTTCTTTTTTAACCATATCCAAATCATAAACTTTGCTTTTCTATGTAATGTGTTGATAAACAAGTTGAGAGAAGAAATATAAAACACAGGCCTCTTTTACATACTAATAACTATTAACTCAGTCTATAGTTGCCGAATTATGTATTTATAGAGATCAAATTAAAAACACTTAAAATTATGACTGCCCAGATGACTACGAAGTCAAGAGTTCCACATAGTCCTACTTGTCTGGCCCCAAATCAGTCATTAAAACTCGGTGTGGTCGGCTCTCCCTTTTGGACAATAAAAGACTGCACTGCTAGAAAGGTGAGGTGGGCTTAAGTCCAATGAAATCCAAGTGTGTATTAACGTCGTCGCCCCCCATCCCATGAAAGGAAAAGGTGCTTTGGAGAAGCGTCAACCCTCACGATCTGTGCTTGGGCACCGAGTGGCCGGGGCACGGAGGGGATGGGGAAGGCTGGGAGCACGGAAATTAACCAGTCTCGTGCACGCAGACCGTTGTAAGGGTCACGCTGCCCTGGGAATTTCACAGGAAAAGGAGCCACTAGCGTCCCCGGGGTTGTCACTCGTGCCCAGCACACAACGCGGCCCCAGGTGCGGCAGGGTGGGGGAGGGGCGCGAGGCGGACTCGCGTTATTTTACGACCCCCGCGCTCCGAGGGGACGCGGCCCGGCGACAAAGAGACCCACGGCGGCTCGAGGCGGGTGGGGGAGGGGGCCTGGCGCCCGGGAAGCGGCGCCGGCGCGGGCGGGAGGCGGAGGCGCGACTCCCGCCCGGCCCGGCTCCCGAGTGGCGGCTCCAGGCCCGCGAGAGGCTCGGCGTCCGCGGCCGCCGTTCCCCGCCCCGCCCCCGCGCGCCCGCCCGGGCTGCCGCTCACCTGGTGGCGTCCGCGACGTTCCTGACGAACAGGGAGTGTTGGGGGGCCTCGTGTAGCGAGACATGACCGCTTCCTAGTCCCTCCCGCTGCCCGCGGCCCTAGGCTCGCTCGGTCCCTCGCCGCCGCCGCCGCCGCCGCCGCTCCGACGGCCCCCGGCGCGACCCCCTCCCCTCGGCCGCGGCCCCGCCAGCGCGCAGCCGCAGAGCCCGGCCGACCGGCCGCGCGGGCGGGGGCTCCCGAGGGCCCGGACAAGCTGTCCTCAGCCCCACCTGCCTGCCGCGGGTCAGGCCCCTCGCCCATGTGGCCTGAGCCCCTCTCCATCCGTCCCGCCCTCACCCATCTCCATCCCTCTCTCTCCATCCGTTTCTTCCCTTTCTCCCATCTCTCTCTCTCTCTCTCTCTCTCTCCTCTCTCTCGCCATCTCTCTCCCATTCCTCTCCCTCCTCTCTCCATCCCTCATGCTCCCGCTCCATCTCTCTCCATCCACATCTCTTTCAACATCTCTCCATTTCTTCCCTTTCTCCCAGCTCTCTCTCTCTCTCTCTCCTATCTCTCTCCCTCTGTCTCTCTCTCTGCACTCTCCTCCTCTCTCTTCTCCTTTTCCCTTTCCCTCTCTCCATCCATCTCTCCTTCTCCCTGCCTTTCCTTCTCCCCTCCTCCCTCCTCTCTCCCCTCTCAGCGTTGTGATTCTTCACCCACTATTTGCTTAGGCCTAATATTGAGCTGTGAACACGTGCATGGGGATGTTTACTGAGGGACCACTATGTAACAGGCATTGTTGTAGGTGTGGGAAATGGCAAGGAACAAGCAGGCGAGGTCCCTCAGACTTGACACTGTGGAGAGGAGGATGAACAAATGAATACATGATGTGGAAGAAAGCAGTTAAAATGCAGAGACAATAAACAAATTTAAATGATCCTCTCCCATGCCTCTGAAATGTTGTAGTCGGTCTCCTCTTTCCTCTTGCCTTGATGTTTGCTCCTGTGATGGGCGCTGACTTTTACCCAGGGCTGGGAGGATAGCCAGGAAACTCAACTCACATTAATTTCTCTCAGAAGTGGTCTGAGAGTAATTAATACTGTCACCTGACCTAGGCCACAGCCCTAAACGTTAAGAAAGGTCCTGTAGGTCTGTAAGGCTTCTGGAAACTTAGCTGTTCATCCAAAAGGGATTGCTATGGCATGGCTGGTGCAGAGCTAGCTGGGGATACAATGGTGAGAGGAGACAGGGTTCCTTTGGATGGAGCTTACAATTTGGTAGGGAAACACCTTCCCCTCAGGAAATCAATCCCAGGCCTCACTCTTCCAACCCCTCTACCACTGAACTATAACCCCAGCCCTTAGGGAGTTAGAATCTAACAATCACACTTGTAAAAACACCCACAGTGACAAGGGCTATGAGGAGAGTTACCTACTGCTGGAAGGGGACCTGAAGGTGGTAATAAGCAGGGCTGGAAGGTCACTTCATTCTTCTCTGAATAGACCAACTACCTCTTCATTGGAGAACAAAGGAATACATGAATGGAGGAGAGAAATTGGTGGGCTGGAAAAGCATGCGCAAAGGCCCTGAGGCAGTGTAGGAAATGAAAGGAAGCATAAAAGCTAGAAGACAATTAGAAAATGAGACCAGAAAGCAGGCTGGATATATAATAGGAAAGTTTACAATACTGATATGTGTTCATTTATTGGTGTTGCTGTAACAAATTGCCACAAATATGGTGGCTTAAAACAATAAATTTAACCTCTTAGAGTTCTGAAGGCACTAGTGGAGAATACTCCCTCACTTATTTTAGTCTCTGATGGCCCAAGGCTCTCCTTGGCCATGGCTGTATAACTCTGGTCTCCACCTCTATTTACATATACCTTCTGTCTATATTTCTGCTTCTGTTTCTTATAAGAACACTTGTCAATGCATTTGGGTCCTACTTGGTAAATCTGAATGATTCATTTTCAAATTATTAATGTAATTCCCTCTGCAAACACTTTTTTTCAGCTAAGGGACATAGCAGGGGTTATAAGGTGGACATGTCTTTTCTGGAAGCCTCCTTTTAGCCCAAGACATTGAGCTTTTGGAGGAAAAAAATTGATCTGGTAGGTGGCCAATGTTAACCACCCATTGTTAACTAGAGGACAAATAATTCACTGGTCTCTGTGTATATTTCTTTGTGTTTCATGTATAAATAGAATTTTTCCAGGTGGAAGCTTTATACTTTTTTTTTGTACTTTCATATTATTTTTAAAATGCCTTCTATAGTTAAAAAACCCAAAACCCACAAAGCTTTTACAACTTGGCAGTATGGGGAAGGACAGTGAGGCTGGGGAGTGCTTGCTTGTTGTTTTTCTGTTCCTAGGGATGGAATTACCTGAGGGAGGAGTCCTCAACTGGGAATGGAAGCCAGTTAGAAACTCAAAATGCAAAAGTAGACAGACGTGCTTTCAGAGAAGTTGTGGAGCTGTCATTATTTATAGTACATAAAATTTCTAGTCTTCCTCCATCCACATGCAACTTGAGACAGCTGGGTAGGTGAAGGAGGTACAGGCTGCTTCTGGCTGACGGGCCCAAGGCAGAAACATTTGCAGGCATGGATAATTGAAGAATATTGCAGAGGCTTGGCCAGTGTTATAACCAGTTCAGAGTAATTAACTGTGCTTCATCTTTCCTTTGATGTCTTATGGCATTCTTATTTTTTTTTTTTTTGCTTATTTTTCAGGTAAGGTCTTGCGTTTTTGCCGGCTGGCCTCAGACTGCCATCCTCCTACCTATACTTCCCATGTAGCTGGGATGCCAGGCCAGCCCTGTCTATGGTATTCTTAAAAAAAAATAGGACCAGGCATGGGGGCTCACACTTGTAATTCCAGCTACTCAGGAGGGGGAGATGGGAGGATTGAGGTTTGAGGCAGGGTTCATGACACCCAATAAAAGCTGTGTGTAATAGTGTATGTGCCTGTCATCCCAGCTGCTCAGAAAGCATAAGTAGAAGGATCTTGATCTGGGCACGAATGTGAGACCCTACTTAAAAATACCTATAACAAGAAGGTCTGTGGCTGTGGCTCAAGTGGTAGAGTGCCTGTTTAGCAAACATGAGGCCTAGTGTTCAAGCCCCAGTACTGCCAAAAAAATAGTCTTAGTGGACAAGTCTTTAAAATAAATATGTGTATTATATTGATAATAGGAACACATAGAAATTTATTTCTAATTTTTGGGTTTTGATTCCAGAGCTTTGTCTCTGGGAAAATTGTTGATAGCAAACTTATTTTCATTTAGAATCTAAGCACTTAGTTCAGATCTTCCCTTGTATTCTTTACCCCTTTCCCACATGCTAAGCTGACTATCTCATACTCGTTTGTCACTCAAGAGCATCTATTTTGAACAGCATGGGAGAAACAAAACCCTCTTGATTTCACCAGTAGGCTTTGGGAAGCAGAGAGTAGTTTCTGGGTCATTAGTAAAGTTCAAAGTCCAAGGCTATCACTATTTCTAATAACCATGGGTAATCAAGAGAGGCCAAGGCTGGTTTACAATATTGAGCAACACAGTTTATTATTCTAAAGCAATCAAATCACTAGTGTATGTGGCTGTATAAGACAACCAGTCTTTCTTCCGTTTCTTACATGCATCAAAATGGGCTAATTGCCAAATATATATATATAGAGATAGATAGATAGATAGATAGATAGAATTGTACAGCTCTATCTATATAGATAGATCTCACTATCTAATTGATAGAGAGAGAGAGAGAGAGTGAGAGAGAGAGAGAGAAGCTACATTGTACTTGGGTTTGCATGAGATAAGTGCATTGGGTCTGGGAATCTAAAGAACAGATGAGTGAGTATCCCATCCCCCATGGAGAGCACTATGAGCCTTGCACCCTGAGGAGGAGATACAGGGTCTCATAAATCTGCCACAGGGCTGATAAACAGAATGCTGTCAAGGTTGTTTCCCCCCATAAGGGGCAAACAGATCAGCTCATCAAAGAGAGCTGGTGCGTGAATCCACCGCCAATGAAAAAAAACCCACCTAACCCTTACCCTAACCCAGAGTTAAATCATGCATAAAAAGCCCCAGCCTCCACCTGAGCAGGGAGCTACCAGTTTCCAGGCTCCGCTGCATTGCTCTAGCTGCAGCCTTTCCTTTCTCTAAAAAATCCTACCTTGTGTAGTACCAGCCTTGTCTCACGAGTCAATCAGCTGCCTCAGGAGCCAGTTCTTATCCTGTGAAGGCAAGAACCCTCGACACCAGTCCACAACATTTCACACCAGCATGTAAAAAAGTGTCTTGAAATTTGTGTGATTAAAAAAACTACTTGGAAGTGGGGCGCTGGTGGCTCACACCTGTAATCCTGTCTACTCAGAAGGTAGAGATCAGAAGGATCATAGTTCAAAGCCAGCTAGAGCAAATAGTTCACGAGACCCTATCTCAAAAAACCTTCACAAAAAGGGCTGGTGGAATGGCTCAGGGTGTAGGCCCCTAGTTCAAGCCCCAGTACTGCCAAAAAATAAAGTAAAATAAAATAAAAAGAAAGAAAAAGAAAAAAACTACTTGGAAGAAACAATTTACCAGGATTAAGGAAGTGACCAAAGTACCAGAGCGAACACCATCTTGTGCTGTGAAGTGTGAAGTCACTTGCCAGCAGGTGGCACTAGCTCTCCTCCAGTGAGAGCTGCCCTTGCCTGCCCTTCCTTAACATGTTCCACAACACTGAAGAGAGGGTGACGTGGGGATCTGCACGGGATGCATTATAAACATCTTCTATTGTTGCTGAGCTTTGATTAATAAAGAATCATTTCATAAACTCAGTTTATGAAAGATTCTATGATTGGATCCTTTTATGAACTTGATTTCTCATGCTTCGGCTGGAGGAAATCATAAAAGAGGTCATTTATATGCTAACTAGCAATGATCAGACTAACCTAACTCTTTCAGAAAGATTGGCTTAGAGCAGGCCTCACTATACCTATGTATTGCCTAAATGAATTTACATCACTGGATGTGTTTTCCTTCTCTCTCTCTCATACTGGGACTTAAACCCAGAGCCTTACACTTGCTAGGCAAACACTCTGTCAC